GCACTTCAATTTCTGCCCTGTTTCTCTTTTAACCATAGCCTGAAAATGCTTAAATACTTCTAGAACTTAATCTTTAGTTTTTAGTAGAAAAGCCCAAACTTTCTTTGAATAATCATTAATGAAAGTAACAAAATAAAGTGCACCACTATGTGTACTAACTTTTAAAGGACCACAAACATCCGAATGAATCAACTCCAAAATATTTTCTTTTCTAGAAGCAACATTTTTATGAAAAGGAACTCTATGTTGTTTACCCGCCAAACAATGAACACAAGTTTTAAGATGTGTACCTTTCAAATCGGGTAGAAACTCTTTCTTGAACAACACTTGCAACCCCTTTTCACTCATGTGGCCAAGCCGCTTGTGCCACAATTCGGTAGAAGTATCATCTTCAAGTGCATTGACAACACCTTTACAAATTTTTCCTTACATCGAATAAAGTGTATGAGTCTTCTTCACCACCAAAGAACCCTTTGTGAGCTTCCATATTCCATCACCAAATTTGTTGTTGAAGCCTTCATCATCTAGCTTTCCAGTAGAGATCAAATTGAGGCGAATATCGAGAACATGCCTCACATCTTTAAGCAACAACTTGCAGTCCAAATTTGTTTCCAAGCAAACATCACCCATGCCGATAATCTTGGACAAACCTTCATTACCCATTCGAACAGAACTATAATCTCCTTTGGTGTAGGTAGTGAAGAAATCAACTCGAGAAGTCACATGAAAAGAAGCACCGGAATCAATCACCCAGTTACTCTCTTGACCCACAAAATTGATACAATCATCTTCACAAACGATCATGAGATCATCGGTAGTAACTACTGTTGTATCTTCTTGCTTCTTATCCACACTTTTGTCACGCCTTTTCTCCTTGTTCTTGAGCTTTCGGCATTCTCAATTCATGTGCCCTTTCTCATGGCAATAATAGCACTCAATATCTTTCTTTGAAAAAGAATTATCTCTTGATTTGTCACGACTTTGATCACAACCATGAGGAGTCTTACCCCTCCCCCTTATTTTGCTTCAGCCTCTCACAACAAATGCTTCTGAATGAGAGGAACTCACTGATTTGCTTTTAGTTTCTTCATTCAACAGGCTACTAGTGACTTGACCCATTGTAATAACTCCATCGGGTGCCGAATTACTAACTGTCACAACCAAAGTTTCCCAACTTTCGGGCACAAAACTAAGTAGCATCAAAGCTTGCAACTCATCATCAAAAATAATTTTCATAGAAGCAAGTTGGTTAACATTACTCTTTATTTCATTCAAATGTTTTGGAATGGGGCTACTATCTTTATATTTTAAATTAACCAACTTACGAAAAAAAAAAAATTTATTTGTAACTGATTTTCTATCATAAAGACTCTAATTTTTTTCATAAATCATGTGCCGAAGTTTCAGTAGCAACATGATGAAACACACTGTCATCAATCTATTGACGGATAACACCAACGGTTTTTCGATTAAGCCTATTACATTCATCATCTTGCATACCCTCGGGTTTGCCACTATCACCCTCAATGGGTCCATACAAATCTTTACAAAATAATAGGTCCTCCATTTTAGTTTTTCAAGTTACCAAATTACTTCCATTGAAGCTAGACATGCGACCCACATTCCCCTCCATTGATTTACACAAATAAATAAACCCAAATAAACCGTAAGCTCTGATACCAGTTGTTACGAAAAATATGTGATTCCCATAAGTAAATCAATCAATGGAAATAAAAACTAATGCGGAAAAATTAAATTAAAATAAAAGCAATACAAAAATTTTTACGTGGTTCCCTCAATGTAAGGTACGTTCACAGGATCGAAATCCGATTCCACTATCAACCAAATCAGTTTCCAAACGATTACAAACGAGACACGAATGGTCTCACAAAACCACTATTAGGTGAATTCCAAATAATCACAAATAAACAAGAGGAAAGACCTCACCAAATAGAAGAATCAAAATCTTCAAAACTAGAGCTGAAGAAGACCCAAAATAATAACCAAATCAATCCACACAAAGATTAACGAAATCCACCCACTAAATCAAACCAGTAGTATGATTGTCTACAATGATAATTAGCCCACCAAAGATGATCAACTTTTTGTAACCCATCGAATTGATTTTTCAATCAATATCATTTGTAGTAGCACATTATCTCACAGGGAGGAATTAATCGACAGCCACTCTCTCGGAAGAAGAAATCAATGTATCTTCCTCAAATATATTATTGAACAATATATATATATATCTAAACTTTTGGGCTTGTTCCATCAAAACCCTAGTTGTTATCAAATTAAATTCTTTTAATAAACCAATTGGGTCTCACACTCCAATAAGGAGGTATACCCAACACAAGACTCTAACCATTTAAGTTGCATACAACATAGAACAAATATTTTGTTTACAAAAATGCTAGAAATTCTAAAAATTCTACCAAATGTCTCACATGGATGTGGGACCCACATTGTGTAGGTCTCACACCCATTTAAGACATTTGATAAAAACTTTAATAGAATTGTTAAGATTTTTAACATTACTCTTTTGTTTATTTATTTGACTTGTACACTAGAATTTTTGCACACCCAAATGGGTGTTTGAAATTTCCATGATTTGACTTAAGTAAATTATTCAGACTTAGTTTGTCGAACAATTTCAATATGTTCAAAATTTGAGTGTCGAACAAAATTTGAATAGTTCGACTCTGTACTTCCGAACGGACTTATCCTTCACTGTTTTTTGTTTCATTTTCAGAAATGGATGACCCTTTACGTATTTCACCTACTGCCTTAGAAAGACGACATCGTGCATTAACAAATCATGTTCCTTTAAGGGTTCTTAGTTTTTGTTTTAGGGTTTTTTGATTCTTTAGAGAGAAGATACGCAAGTAACGTTTGAGATACTTGGCGTGTATTGTATTCATTATAGTCTCTTATGGTAATTTTACAAAAGGTGTGTATCATAATCCTTTGTCCTTTGTAGTCATTTTACATCAAGTTAATATTGTAATAAAAATTAAACCAATTAATGGTGTGCCTTAAGATGAAAGGTGGTGTGTAAATAGAAGCTCCCATAAACAAAGACTCTAACCATTTAAGTTGCATACAACATAGAACAAATATTTTGTTTACAAAAATGATAGAAACTCTAAAAATTCTATCAAATGTCTCACATGGGTGTGGGACCCACATTGTATGGGTCTCACACCCATTTAAGACATTTGATAAAAATTTTAATAGAATTTTTAAGATTTTTAACATTACTCTTTTGTTTATTTATTTGACTTGTACACTAGAATTTCTGCACACCCAAATAGGTGTTTGAAATTTCCATGATTTGACTTAAGTAAACTATTCAGACCTAGTTTGTCGAACAATTTCAATATGTTCGAAATTTGAGTATCGAACAAAATTTGAATAGTTCGACTCTGTACTTCCGAACGGACTTATCCTTCACTATTTTTTGTTTCATTTTCAGAAATGGATGACCCTTTGCGTATTTCACCCACTGCTTTAGAGAGACGACATCGTGCATTAACAAATCATGTTCCTTTACGGGTTCTTAGTTTTTGTTTTAGGGTTTTTGAATTCTTCAGAGAGAAGATACGCAAGTAACGTTTGAGATACTTGGTGTGTATTGTATTCATTATAGTCTCTTATGGTAGTTTTACAAAAAGTGTGTACCATAATCTTTTGTCTTTTGTAGTCATTTTACATCAAGTTAATATTGTAATAAAATTTAAATCAATTAATAGTGTGCCTTGAGATGAAAGGTGATGTGTAAATAGAAGCTCCCATAAACAAGACTCTAACCATTTAAGTTGCATACAACATAGAACAAATATTTTGTTTACAAAAATGCTAGAGACTCCAAAAATTCTACCAAATGTCTCACATGAATATGGGACCCACATTGTATGGGTCTCACACTCATTTAAGACATTTAATAAAAACTTTAATAGAATTTTTAAGATTTTTAACATTACTCTTTTGTTTATTTATTTGACTTGTATACTAAAATTTCTGCACACTCAAATTGTGTTTTAATTCCTAGTTATATAATATCTGCACACTCAATTTGGGGTGAACATAAATTGTCACTTTTTTATTCCAAAATTATCCGCAAAACAATATGGTATGCCTTTCATATTTTTTTTAATACAAAATTTCATAATATAAATCACAAAATATCATAAATTTGTCTACTTAAAAAAAAAAACAAAAACAAAAATCATATATCATAATTTCGTTATTCATAACTTTTAGTACAAAAAATAATAACTGTATTGCAATTTGCACTTTTTAAAGAGTGCACGCTATAAATTTCTCCATTAATATGTATATATATATATATATACATATGTAAATGCAGAGAGAGAACAACGAGATAAACTATCAAGATCTCACCCTTTCTGTATTGTGGTGTAACTTGGTTTTACCCTTTGTGGATCAATAATAGTCCAATGAATGATTATTAATGGGAAAAAAAAAAAAATTATTATTCCAAAGAAAAAGATGTGATTCAAAGCGGAATGGCCAAAAACAAATCATTCATATAATCGATCCTTGCCTACTTGGTACATAAAACATGATTTGATTTGATTTGGTTCAATTGTGCGGTAGCCTGAAAGAGGGAAAACCTCACAAAACTAGGGTGGTCGTGGTTCAGTTTTAGACGGTTTGCGGATTGATTTGGAACAATCCACATGTCTGCAATTTGGAGAAAATTCAAGCTACAACCGCCCACAGTGCGGGTTGCGATTTATGTGGATAGGGTTCGCAGATATGCGGCCAGTTGTAGACGGTTTACAGATTGAACTTTTTCCTTTAAACAATAAGCATAGTTTAAAAAAATAAATAAATAAACAAATAAATAATAAGTAACTAAATTCATCCAAGTTATCAAAGCCACACACAATAACTGTGTATATTTTTAATTTGTTATGAATCTTCAATTTGTTTATATTTTTAACTGTATATATTTTGGTACACACACAGGTACATTGTCAGAAAGTTTGATGATGTATTCATGAGATGGGAATCAATTACAAAGGCGCATGTCTCTATGCAAGGATTCACTGATGCAAGAGATAAAATTATGTTCATTGAGAATATGCTTGGTGAAACTCCCATTAAATTCCACAGTATATGTATTTGCTTCAAGGGCTTCTGTTGGAACAGATTCTGAGTCGACAACGCATGTTGTTGCTCCAGTATCAAGAATTGCATTTAAAGAGATCTTCTGTATTCCTGGAATATCCAGTTCAACAGTAAGATTATAAAGCATATTCTTCTTCTTCTCTTTGACTTCGCCCTGTGCAATTGTTTCCATCATAACATGAAGTTGCTCTGAAGTCTCCACTTCTTCCTGTAGAGCTTGTAACTCTTCTTCCTTGAATTTGCCTTTGGTTCGAAACTTCAATAAAAGTATTTGATCAATGGGTACATAACAACAACATTAAATTGCAAAAAAATCAAAAGGTATTCTTCATTTTCTCTGGTTGTAGTATTGATTTAACAAAAAAAAAAAAAAAAATTTTTCCAAGCATAATTTCGTTATTCATAACTTTTAGCACAAAAAATAATAACTGTATTGCAATTTGCACTTTTTAAAGAGTGCACGCTATAAATTTCTCCATTAATATGTATATATATATATATATACATATGTAAATGCAGAGAGAGAACAACGAGATAAACTATCAAGATCTCACCCTTTCTGTATTGTGGTGTAACTTGGTTTTACCCTTTGTGGATCAATAATAGTCCAATGAATGATTATTAATGGGAGAAAAAAAAAAAAAATTTATTATTCCAAAGAAAAAGATGTGAGTCAAAGCGGAATGGCCAAAAACAAATCATTCATATAACCGATCCTTGCCTACTTGGTACATAAAACATGATTTGATTTGATTTGGTTCAATTGTGCGGTAGCCTGAAAGAGGGAAAACCTCACAAAACTAGGGTGGTCGTGGTTCAGTTTTAGACGGTTTGCGGATTGGTTTGGAACAATCCACATGTCTGCAATTTGGAAAAAATTCAAGCTGCAATCGCCCACAGTGCGGGTTGCGGTTTATGTGGATAGGGTTCGCAGATATGCGGTCAGTTGTAGACGGTTTACAGATTGAACTTTTTCCTTTAAACAATAAGCATAGTTTAAAAAAATAAATAAATAAACAAATAAATAATAAGCAACTAAATTCATCCAAGTTATCAAAGCCACACACAATAACTGTATATATTTTTAATTTGTTATGAATCTTCAATTTGTTTATATTTTCAACTGCATATATTTTGGTACACACACAGGTACATTGTCAAACTTCAATAAAAGTATTTGATCAATGGGTACATAACAACAACATTAAATTGCAAAAAAATCAAAAGGTATTCTTCATTTTCTCTGGTTGTAGTATTGATTTAACAAAAAAAAAAAAAAAAATTTTTCCAAGAGAACCCAAAAAAAAAAAAAAAAAAAAAAAAAAAAGAAAGAAAAATCTAAGTGCAGGCAGATTCTTGCGAATGCGTGTAAAACCCGCAAGCCGCCATCATATCGTATTTCAAACCATATCCGCCCGCATTGTATATGCAAAACCGCCCATTCGCATGCGGTGCGGTTCGGTTCAGGTTGGACAGGTTAAACGGTTCGAATAACCCTATAGCTAGCCTTACATAGAACTATCCCAATTTGACTTTGGAATTCTGATAGATGGTGGTCCTAGTATCTATTATAAGCTCTATAATCAGTAACTACAAAACACACAAATACATTTCACAATTTCACAGTTTCATAATTTTACATTATGCCTGGAATATAATTTACAAACTAACACCAGTTCAGTGAGAAAAACTCGGATAAATTACAAATACACTTCTCGAGGTTTGTTTAAAATACAGATTGCTCCATGTGGTTTGAAAAATTACAAATACCTCCTTATTAGAATTATTTATTTAACAGAATTAACTAAAAAAATAAAATTTATAATTGTTCTCCTATACAATAATAAAATTACCTAAATTATTAATTGAAACATATTTTTAACATCATTAAAAACTGTTAATTGACTTGATAATTTATTAATAAAAAAGACGATTTGTTATGAAATTAAAAACCTCAGGGGTGGAATGTAATTTTTAAAACTACATGTGCAATTCATATTTTAATCAAATCTCAAGCAATACATTTGTAATTTACCCGAAAAACTCAGAGCCAATTAGGATCCTTTCAAGAACGGTATGGTATCTCTTTGGTACTGTTTAATGGATCCAATGACTTCAATGGAAAATGCCTCATCTTCAGGGTAATAAGCAATGGGATCAGATAACAGCGGGAGTGGAAGGTTAAGCGCACCTTCAAGTGTTGCGTGAAGACAATAAGCTGAATATGTAACTTGATATCCACCTTCTTGTACAATCAATAGGCGTCCATCGCATAGCTTATCGGCCAGAGTACGAATTTTCCTCCCAATCTCTCTATAACCCTTCATCGTCAAGCATTGCCTTCCATTTGGATCAAACTAAAGCATAGGAAGTGCAATTTAATTCAGTAAGCAAATCCATATTTTTATGAGCACCAACAGTACCGCTATTATCAGTAATACGTTTACATATATGGGTGTATATCAAAATATAAACTGCTGAGTTGTCTCACTTAATAAATCATAGTTAAAGAGGGTAATCATAATGATTTCTGAATTCTTTGCCACACTTGACAAGGCGATGAATGAAGCTAAACATACAACACACGCACATATCCCACCCATCGTTGGTATTATCTAATACTATTTGGGGCAATTGGTTGCCTGAAATGGTGTCAGAGCATTGGTTTCGAGAGGTTCTATCCTAGATTTAAGTCTCCTTGTATGTGTTCACCATGTTTTGTGTGTGTTTGTGACTGTTCAATTTACAGCGGGTTGTACATGAGGGCGGGTATAAGAGCTAAATATACATTGTTGGGATCATTCCCTAACAACTTAAATTTTTGGGCCAATTGGTAACGTCCAAGACTAAGTTCACGTTTTTCAGTGTTGTTGTAAAAATTTTAAAAATTGGCTCCCCACTACAATTAAGTTTCCTGATTTTTGCATTTTGAAAGCATGCACGTCTACAAAAATGCAATTTGATGAGACAAATCTAAAAGTGTATTTATGTAAATCCTGAAAGTAAATTTGCACAGCAAGCCATTGAGCAAGATTTAGGGTTTCCACAGGCATTGAAGGGGAAACAAAGAAACAGAGGAGAGTTTTGAAAGCCAAAGATAAACTAAATTATAAATTCAAATTTGCATACTATTAATTCTTCAAGTCTAGATTTCTCAAAACAACACAATTTTGCTGGTCTTTCCTATGCAATTATTTGGATGATCCATGCAAATAGTGTATTCACACTCGTATTGTCCAAGAAGTCAATGTGAAAGCCGATAGAACATAATCATTATCACTGTTCCAGAATTTAAAAATTTCCCAAGAGTTTAGTGGCCTTTTAGTTCTCAAAAGAAAACAATTTCAACTTTGTCATCCACAGTTAAAACAGTAAATCGATCAGACCATGGCTGCCTAGAACTGCAAAATCCATTGTGAACTTCTAAGAATATCTATTACATAGATATTACACTAGACTGATTATTTTTTGATATTTCAGTCTCCTTTCTAGTAAGTACTACATTTTAAAAATTTTAGATAAACTACCAGTAGGTTCTAGACTTAATTCCCATAAAATCCTATTGTTGCACAAAAATAATTTTTTGCATGTCGCTAAAAATTAACGGTTAGTGACTTTTTTGTCACAATTTTTATAAATTGTTGCTAAAATTTACAATTGGTGACGTTTTTCTGTGACAAATTTTTCAAACTGTCACTGAAAATTAAAAATTAGTGACTTTTTTGTGATGATTTTTTTAAACTGTCACTAAAACTTCTAAGTGACATTTTTTGTGATAATTTTTAAACTGTCGCTAAAAATTAACAATTAGAGACTTTTTTAATAGTGTTTGATGAAAAATGCTATTAATTATCATATGATTTATTGGATAATAAATTCACCTATATGTAAGTCACCTTTAAAATTTCCACAGTTATGTTTTCAATTTTTTAAAATTTAATCAATGCATTTGGTTTCCAACCTGGAAATACTTCTTCAATTAAATCAAATTTTAATATAAATTAAAAAATGAAAAATATCAACTTACAGCGCTTGAATCTTGGCCGATAACTAAAACCATCATATCTGGCTGAAACTTTTGGACCGCAGGGACAACCAACTCTGTCATGGCAAACTCATACCCTCTATCTCCTGTCCCATTCGGTAAAGGTATATTCAAATTATAACCGAACCCATCTCCATCACCAAGCTCATCAACATTTCCACTATGCGGATGAGAAGGACCCCACGAACCATGATTCATATGAAGAGAAATAGTGAGAACTTTATCGGAGTGGTAAAACCCCTCAGCAGTCCCATTCCCATAATGAACATCAATGTCGACAACCACAACACTTTTACAACCCGAATCCAAAGCTAACTGGACAGCAAGACCCGCATTATTAAGAAAGCAATACCCATCAGCTTGAGTCGGCTGAGCATGATGGCCCGGAGGCCTAACTAATGAGTAACTGATTTTTCCATGACCATCAAGTATATGCTTCATTGCTGACAAGGTAGTGCCAGCAGCTAGAAGTGCAGCGTCCCATGAGCCGGAATTCAAGAAAGTCCCAGCACAAATCATCTTCCCCCCATTTCTATCCGCTTCAACTAATTCATCTATATATCCTGGAAATTATTTTGTGTAAAGAATATCAGCCTCTAATTGAAAGAATTCCAATCAATATGCAGGAAACATTATTCAAATCAATTGGATGGGGACCTAACATCAATAATCTCCAACATCTATCTTCTCTCTTCCTTTTTTTTCATAAATAAAACAAAATTGTTATATAATAACCATAACCAAGTTAGTGACATGTCCTAAGTTTTTGTATTGCTTATAATCAAGGTTCTGAAAAGCGGTTGCGGTCGCCGTAACGGTAATGGTGACGCGGTTGCAGTTGCAGTTGCGGTTGCGGAGTGTAAAGGCTGTAGCATAACGGTTGCGGTAATCGGAATCGTGAATTTTTTTATTTTTCGCACAATTTAAAAAAACTTACCGATACGCATATTTTTTTTCCATAATCATATTTATTGGGTTTTAAAATAAATATTGATCAATTTCTGTAAATTTTTAAATATGATCCAATATATTTTATATTTTTAAATCACTATAAACTGAGTTTTTTACATTTTATTTTAATAATTAATGACTTTATATGTCCTAAATCCATATTATGCTTGCGGCAACAAATTTTTTTTTTATTGGAAAAAGAGGGATTTTTTGGAGCAAATGGATGAGATCTTACAGGAGATACCCGTAGGAGAGAACCTGGTTATAGGTGGAGATTTTAATGGCCATGTGGGCATAGATAAAGTAGGTTATGAAAGGGTGCATGGTGGATACGGTTTTGGGACTTAAGGCTTCGTTTGGTTTGGTTTGGTTTGGTTTGGACTTAGATGTATAAAATTATTTTTTTTAATTATTATACTTGTGGAAGCATATGCAACTTTTAATTTGAATTGTTTTAAAAAATAAATTATACATGCTAATGTAATCATATAAAAATTAAAAAATAAATTATAAAGAAATTTTTTTTGTTTGAATTTGAATCACTTGAATATTCATTCTCTTTTTGAATAACTAGTAAATAAAAATAAAATAAACTAATCAAAAAAAATTGAAATGTATAAAAAATATATTAATATATAATTATAGGTGTTATGTTTTCTAGATATTTTACAAAAAAAATCAATCACTAAACAATGACAAAAGTACAAAAAAAAATAATAGCCTATATATATATATATATAAATAGATAATGACCACACTTATTATTATTATTATTATTTTTTTTTTTTTTTTTTTTTTAGAAAAAATGAAATGGCGTGCCTAAATATATATATATATATATACATACATATTTTAACCAAGCCAAATAGATAATGACCACACTTATTATTATTATTATTTTCAAACAATATACAGACAGACGCACACAAACAAAATAGTTGAGTAATAATTGCTGAATAAAATAGTATAGGTCTTGCAGTTTTAACAAATCAAAAACATGTTCATCATCTTTTCTCTTTTCTCTCTCTATTTCTTACTCCTTCCATCTTCCCTTTTCATCTTTCCTCTTCTCTCTCTCTCCCTCTTCCCTCATTTTCAGTTTTTTTTTTTTCCGAAAAAAGTAGTTCGGAACCGTTACGTAACTGTACGTAACACGCCGTTATGGCCGTTACAGCACCGTTACGACCGCTACGACAGCCGCTACGGTCAACACACTTGTGAATCTCAATCACACTGCAAAAGCGGCCATAACAGGTGACAGTAACTGCCAAAACCGTTACATAACGGTTGCGGCCGCTTTTTAAAAGCTTGCTTATAATTATCATATACATCTAGTTTGCTCCATTTCCATTGAAATGGGAAAGAAAGAATCTATTTTTGTCAAGAAACTGAATTTTAACCCAGAAACAAAGAGTGTGTATAACGCTGCAGATGGGACCAGATGTTTGAGAAATCTTCAACTAATTCATTAAAATAATATAAAAAAAAATTTGATTATTTTCCTTTTCAGTCCCAAAATATGATATATTTGTTATTTTGGATCAAATTTCAACCCAATATATATATATATATATATATAATACGGTTCTCAATCTAATTCGTGTCCAGATGACACTAAAAATGGAAAATCAATCCAAAAATTTACATTTTTAGTCACCAAAGTATATAATTCGTGTCATTTATTTCTTTTAGAGGGGTAATTTTTTTTATAATTGAACATTTACCCATGATTTTAAAGTCATTATTAAATTAATTTAAACAAGAGACTAAAACAAATCTTAACCCTAGAAAAATTATCGAATTCCCAATCAAATTTCAACATTATTTTCAACAAAGGGGCTTCTCTACTAACATCATATTTTGACATTGTCGATCATCAATTGAGCTCTCAATTCCATCATCTCGTGTCTCGCCCATAGAAGAGAGAGAGAGAGAGAGAGAGAGAAGGGGGTACCTGAAGTGTGAAAAGTGAGCAATTCAGGGATGAGGGCAGGTCTACCAGTGTGCCAAGAAATGAAAGGAGAGAGAGGACCCTTTTTGAGAATAGAGAGCATGTTCTTGACTCTATCTGAGTTTTCAGGGTGGTTTTCGAGAACATCGAGAAACCCAGGGTCGATTCCGGAATCGAATACGCCAGTTCCAGGGTCGTGATTCAACATCCCATCGTGCCAGAAGACGTGAATGCGATCATCGCCAGTTGTTGTTGTTGGTAGGGAAGAAGAGAGACAAACTAACCCAGCCCTAGCCCCCATGCTTGGGTTGGGACTCCCCCACATTCACACTTTCACTTCTTCCACTGGTTAGTGTCTCTCTCACCCTCTCTCTGTTTTCATTGAATTTTTTCAATACTTTCTATTTTACTAAGGGGTTGTTTGAGGTGTCCTAAATAAGTCTATTTTTTTATTTTTTATGAAATATGAGTTAGGTATGGGTTGTGTTTGAAATGATGTGATAGAGAAGTGATGTGACTTAAATAAGATGATGTGACTTAAATAAGATAATAACTTTTTGACTTTTTGAACTTTTTTGAGAATGCCAAACTTGACCTAAATTTTTTTTAAAAAAAATTAGGGTAAACAATTTGTCCAATTTGGCCTTAGATTCCATTTTCTTTTTTCTTGGAAAAATTGCACTAATATATATATATATATATATATATTAATTTTAATAATTATAATTATAATTTTTTTTATGAATTTATAAGTATTTTATGAAAATATGAATTGTACGGGGAGCAAATATTCGACAACGCCCGTATTCCTTTCGTCCAAGCTCTGCTTCTATCCGATCAATCTGTGAACACAACGACGGTGAGCTACCCGGCGGTGTGTTGCCGAAAAACCCCTCCGACGGTCAAGTTAGCACACACTCAGAGATAGAGAAAGAGAGGAAGAGAGTTGAATGAATGTTTAGGTTTCTCTCACCAAATGATGTTCTATCCCCAGCATGGAGGGCGTAGTCATGCTTATATACTTTCTGCGCTCACCTCTGCATCCATTCACTTATTGACACGTAGAGCTGCTCTCCCATCCGTCAGCGCAAATCCAGCTAAACACCACCTACTCAAATCGCCAGACAACATTACCAGGAACGGGGCAGCCCGGCGACGTCACCTCGAACTCATATGACCAGGCTATGTAACGAGTCCAACAGCACCACTCGCCGAGCTCCACCACAACCGAGCTTAGTAGCATTTCGGTACGACTGAGCTCTAGGCAAGTTAAGCCGGTCTTCAGAAGGCCTCTCTCGCGCGAGCTAAATGTGCGAACCGTGAAACCAAGGTCGGCAGACAATCACCTCGGCCAAGTTAGCTCGGCCCAAACGTGGGACCTGGGCCTCGATCGAGCAAGCCAACTGTGGACGGGCCCACGTTAGCTCGGCCTAAACATGCTCGGACCTCTCTCTGCCCGGCCTCTACCACGACCCAAAGCCACATTATAAATCTCCCTTTCAATTTCCTTTTAATTCCGTTCGCGCAAGCGTGACTGGGATTACATGATCCGACCGGGGCCAATTCTCCGCCCTACTTAAATCCACAAAATGTTGACCGAGCTAATCCCCATGCTCGGTTTCTTGACTTGCTCGGTCGACGCCTCAACTCGCCATCCTGTCTCTTCAGTACTGACGCCGCCGTCAATAGGGACGCATGTCCTTCGCTCATTGGCCTCGAACAGCCAACCCCGCCGCCTCTTCACATTCGAATTTTGGCAGTTCTTTTTTCTCCTATAAACACGCCGCTTGCCCCTTCACATTTCTTTCTTACTGCTTCTCTTCCATTCCAGACGACCCAACGTGCCATCCTCTCTATCAAACACCATTCTTGCTCTGGACTGTCTTCGTGCTCGAAGATTCGACCTTCGCCCCCAAACTGGTAAGTTCTTCGAATCTCTTTGTTGTTTTTCGTTTGATACTCACGTTTTAGGGCATGATAGCCATAGGTTTTAGGTCTTCTCTCTTTACTATTCTTCAACTTCAGTGATGAACACGCGAGGATCTGGGACGGACCGGGCTCTAGGTTTTCTTTTGATCCCAAAAAACACCAAAACAAAGCAAGTTACGAGTTTGCAAAACTCGTGTAGGAACTGAGGTAACAGAGTGCTGGACCGCTCGACGAGGCTAATATCTGGTCCGCTTGAGTGGCCAAGCTTCTGGGTTTACCTCTGTGACCGAGATGGCCTGGCACTCCATCTGACCATGCTAAAGTTGAGCTTGTTTTGCGCGACTGCACTCCCACTTACACTTACACTTCCTTTTACTGCAGAGTCCAAGGGGACCAAGCACCAATACTGAGGCTCTCAAAGGCCGAGCAGCCATCAAACGAAAGTTTTCCAAACCAACACAGCCGTGCTAAAACTAGCTGGTTTCACATGGGGCGTTACCGCTTCCTGGTTGACACGCCGGTCGCACTAATCGCGTTTCGGGAAGAATACGGCGTCCCCGCAGACGTACATCTCGAGCTCGGTGCCGAGGACACAACCCCTTGGGGCAGACTAGACTAATGCCCTTTCACTGTGCTTTCCATTATCGAAGGCAGCCTTCGCTTCCGGTTAATCCTCTAATGTGCGAGTTCCTGAGGCACACCGGGCTAGCACCAACACAAGTTTCAACCAACACCTACAGAATAATAAACGGGATAGCCGAGCTGAACAACCGGCTAGGCCTGAACCTAGGATTAGCCAAGATACTACACTAGCACACCCTCGGGCATACAGGCGATGGACTTAACTACTACTTAAAGATTAGGCCGGGCAAGGAGAAGATTGTAATCGGCATCCCAGATAAAGATATGCACAACAATGACTTTTTCTGGGTGTCTGGAAACTATGAAACAGCCGACGTGCCCGGCTGGTACATTAGCAAGAACTTCGGTTCGACATGTAAGCCGTGCTCATTGCTCGGTCAAATTATTTTCCTTTACTGTTCTACATTAATGCTTTTCTTCTTTTCCTCTATGCAACTATCGAAGCCTTGCAAGCAAACTACTACAACCCCCATGAGGCTGCCATCAAAACCGTACTGCGATATCATAACCGGGATTGCCACGAACTTCTCAGCTACGTACCGAGCTACAAATACACCGCTCCCCACCGACGTAGAGTTATAGACTTTCTTCGAGCACCGTCTCCACCACCCGATCCAACGCTAATGGACGTGTCCCTAATCTGGCTGACCGAAGAAGAGGAGATGGCCAAACGAAGCCGCATCAAAAATCTCATCACCGCCACTTCCACCGAGCTACCAAGCATCCCACCTCTCACCTTAAAAGCCGGACAAACATCTGAGGCTGTCATTGCCTTGGCGTCGACCACTTCGGCACATGCCAGCAAGGAAAGTCGCCGAGCAGGAAAAAGGCCTCGGTCTGCCGACCCTACTGCCGAGCTTGTTGCCGAGTTGAGCACCGAGCAACTGGCGGAGGGATCTGAACCAACTCCGCTATGGCACCCACAGTTAAAGCACCGGGGAAAAAAGATCCCGGCCAATGCTTCGGTCAAAGGTGATAACGAACACTTTTTGGCTTTTGACCTGACAAAAGCACTTCTCCTGTCAAGCGACGTGGTCGGCAGTGAGCACGTTCCCGACACCCGACTTGTCAAGTCCTCGGTTAAATCTATGACCAGGGTAAGAGCTCTGTACATCTATTCAAATTTATCAAGTGTTTCCACGGTTACTCTTCTTATTTGATCTTTAACACGTCCTCTTACAAGTTATCCAGAAGCAACATCTCGTGATGGATCGGATTCACAAGCTCCGGCAAAAGGTGACCGATGCCAACAACTAGGCCAAGAATCTTGAAACCAAGCTGGGGCGGTCTAAGGCTTCACTTGAGATAGCCAATGCTAACAATCCAAGACTCCTCGGCTAACTTGGCCGGGCCGAGCAAGAAAGGGACGAACTGAAAGCCCAACTCGCGGCTGAGAAAGAAGGGAGGAAGGCTGCCGTAGACGCTACAATCTCGGTTTCCAAGAGGCCGAGGACAACTACTTCAAGCAGGTCGAAACCATTAAGGACATTTATTTCAAGTCCGGTTGAAAGGTCGCTTGCGAAAAACTCGGCCAAGGATCGGAGACCGAGGTATTTGCTTCTCCTCTCCCGGTCTTCCTACCAGTCTACCTAATTTCTTATGCCAATGAAGGCTTCAACGTCTTGCAAGAGGAGGCAGACGAAGAAGCCGAGGAAGAGGGTAACCAATCGGAGCTCGGTGAGAAGGAGAAGGCTGTTGTGGTTAACCTAGAGGTCGCGACAGAAGGAACCGGTGACGAGTTTGTCGATATCTCCCCGTTAGCTCAGTTTAGGCTTGTCTTTTTTGATTTTTGTCTAAATTTTTATAACCGGGCTATAAGCCCCACCATATGTACCCAATTTTTCCATCGATGAAAAGTTGTTATTTTGCACTTACTTTTGCAATGTCTACTGTAGTTTTCGTTTTAACCGCGCTATTCTTCATAGAGCCGAGAAGATTATCTCGGTCACATCTCGACTAAAATTCTGGGGTTGAGAAAATCATCAACCCTTTTAGCCGGGGTAACTCATCTCGGTTAGAGCCTTGGAGTTTGGCAAATCACCAGCTCCTTTAGCCGGTGTAAATTATCTCGGCTAAAACACTTGAGTTGGGCAGATCACCAACTCTTGCAGCCGGCTAAAAACTCCTGAGTTGGACAGATCACCAACTCTTGTAGTCGGGGTAAATCATCTCGACTAAAATAGTTGAGGTGGGCAGATCACCAACTTTTGCAGCTGGGGTAAATCATCTCGGCTAAAAACACCTAAGTTGGGCAAATCACCAACTCTTGCAGCCGGGGTAAATTATATCGGCTAAAACACTTGAGTATGCCCCTCAGTCACTATATTACTTCGAACATAGCAAACCTCTTCAGCAAAGATAATTCACTTCTATTACATTGGCAAAAAGAGTATTGCCATTCAGAAGTGTTGGGGAAACAACAGGTCTTTCCACAAAAAATTACATAAGAACGATAAATACTAAAAATAATACAGTTTGAGGTTGGCCGCATTCTATGGCCGAGGTACGCTTCTACCATCTAAATCTTCTAAGTGGTATGCCCCCTTGCCCGCCAGACCGGTTATCTTGTAAGGCCCTTCCCAGTTTGTCCCTAGCTTGCCTTTGCCCGGTGCCAGTGTGTTGCCCATGACCTTCCTTAAAACCCAGTCGCCCACTTTAAACGGTCTGGGATGCACTGTTTTGTTGTATTTCTTGGTCAATTCTTGTTGGTATGCGGCCACGTAGATTAAAACTTTTTCTCGGCGCTCGTCAGCTAAGTCCAATTCCAGGGCGACTGCTTCAGAGTTTATCTCGGGCTCAAAATTTTCACTGCGGATGGTGGGCATACCGATT